TGACGACCCTGGGACTCCTGCTGAACGCTCCAGTGTACGGCTGCTCGATTATGGAAAAAATCATTATCACGATTATTTTGGATCAAATGAGCATTTTATTTTTATTTATTTAAAAAAAAAAAAAAAAACGCTGTTTGGACACTTTTTGGTCTAAACCAGATCTAAACCAGGTCTAAATTAGAACTAAGGTCTAAACCAGGTCTAAATCAGATCTAAACCAGGTCTAAATCAGATCTAAACCAGGACTAAACCAGGACTAAACCAGGTCTAAACCAGGTCTAAATTAGAACTAAGGTCTAAAGAAGGTCTAAATCAGATCTAAACCAGGACTAAACCAGGACTAAACCAGGTCTAAACCAGGTCTAAATTAGAACTAAGGTCTAAAGAAGGTCTAAACCAGGACTAAACCAGGACTAAACCAGGACTAAACCAGGTCTAAATTTGAACTAAGGTCTAAACCAGGTCTAAATCAAATCTAAACCAGGACTAAACCAGGGCTAAACCAGGTTTAAACCAGGTCTAAACCAGGTCTAAATCAGATATAAATCAGATCTAAACCAGGGCTAAACCAGACCTAAACCGGGTCTGAACCAGGACTAAACCGGGTCTGAACCAGGACTAAACCAGGTCTAAATTTGAACTAAGGTCTAAACCAGGTCTAAATCAAATCTAAACCAGGACTAAACCAGGGCTAAACCAGGTTTAAACCAGGTCTAAACCAGGGCTAAACCAGGTTTAAACCAGGTCTAAACCAGGTCTAAATCAGATATAAATCAGATCTAAACCAGGGCTAAACCAGACCTAAACCGGGTCTGAACCAGGACTAAACCGGGTCTGAACCAGGACTAAACCAGGACTGAACCAGGACTGAACCAGGACTGAACCAGGACTAAACCAGGACTAAACCAGGACTAAACCAGGACTAAACCAGGACTAAACGAGACTGGAGCTGCTCTGGTCGGAATCGCACCTCAGACCTCCTGCTCAGGTCTGTGCTCTCAGAAGTTTGTGGTGTGAGTTTTTGTGAAGTGGGTTTGTTAACTTTGTTATTGATAATTTACGCAAAACTTTCAAATTGAAAATAAATATACTGTAGGCTACAAATATGAACCTTAGAGCAGCTTTGCGATTATAAAACATAAAATGACTCAAATGTTTTTTTCATTATGTTTCTCCCTGTCAACTTAATATTAGACGGTTTTAACAACACAAACAAGAGATTAGTCTATATTCTATTGGCAGCAAGTAAAAACGGCAATAACAAAGTAAGTGGCTTAAACCTGAGCGACCAACAATTGAGAACTGGATTGACATTGTGCCAGAGATCTACACGATGGAAAAGGTTTTATTTTTATTGAAAGTGCAGCTGGACTTATTTTACAAGATGTGGTCTAACTGGACAGAGTAAGTAAAACTGGTGAGATCAGACTTAAAAATAAACTAATTCATAGTTCTGTTAAATTGTGAAAGAGGTTCCCTGGCTCCAGTTTGTATATGTTTTTAAAATGTAAAAGCAGGAACGTGTGATTTCGTTTTACACATTTTACACACAAAAAAAATAAAATAAAATGAATAAAATATACTTTGAACATGAAATAAGGCACAGAAAAACATAAATGTGTCCAAAATAAGCCATATACCCAGCTCTTCTACAGTCTCGCTATATAAAAAATAAAATTAATATACTTATTTATTTAAAATATGTCCCAAAATAAACTTTCCTACGATGCCCAATCACGGGTCGCCCCTAAAGCGAAGTGTGTTTGTCCAGTGTGAGAGAAATCGAACCGCGCCCAGGCTTTTGGACTTCAGCCCGGGTGGAGGAGGTGGGCCAAAGCGAGACACTCATGCACACGCACGACTTTACTACATGATCCCTGTGTGTGCACTGATGTCACTCTTAAGATAAACACAGTGAATAAAGTCCACTCTAAAACAAATGGGGAATCCGCAGTCACCTTCAGTAAGGACGAAGGTAGAGGCGGAAGTTTTGCAGCATCATCTCCTCTAGGGGTCTGCAAAAATATTGAAATATCAATATATATCGTGTCGGTTAACGTGACGATACAGTATTGATATCGCGAGCTGCTGTATTAATATTAGAGCCCGACCGATATATCGGTTGGCCGATATTATCGGCCGAATTGAGCACCTGGAAGCATATCGGCTATCGGCCGATATACTTGCTGATAGGGGCCGATATTTCACGTGGGCATGTTATACGTCGTTATAAAGCTTAGACTCTCTACATTATGTTCATTTAATCTAATTTACAGTCAGATAAATGTCCTAATATGTGGCTCCGCATCAGTATTTATCTGCGGAGTCATTTGTCTGTGTGAGAGTCACGTGCGTTTGTTTACATCCGCAGACACAGATCCAAACACTGGGATTATTTTCTTTTTACAGACAATCGGTTTGAGTCTGGATTAAAAGGACATTTATTAGTGCAGATTTGTGATGTGAGGAGAAGCCTGTGTGAGTGGTGAGTGTTGGAAATATGTCGACTTTGAAGCAAGTTTTTGGTTAGCGGTTAGCTGCTGTAGCTCCCACACATAAACAGGCCGTTTTCTATTGGCCTATTGTAAAGTGACTATATTGGCCGTATATTTGTTACTGGACCTGCATTGATATGTAAATGAGCTGTGAATAGACGTGTGAATGATGAAATTTGCACATATAATTAATTACCGCGGCGCGCAGCATTTACAGCTAAAGGCTAATAGCGATTGTTTATTTACTCGCTAGCAGTGATGGGTCGTTCGCGAACGAAGCGGCTCTTAGATCCGGCTCTTTAAAGCGAACGACGGGAGCCTGATCCTTATTGGGAGCCGTGTTTTCTCTTTTTCTCACTTTTTTCTCTTCATGCCGCGTGTGCATAGTGTAAAAAAAACTTGCAAAAATTATTCAGCATAAAATAAATAAACCAGGACTAATCTTGCGGTTGAGAGAGGGAGAGAGATAGAGACCGAGTCCCGACACTCAGTCCTGGTTAAATTCTGGTTTAGTTCTGTTTTGCACATAGTTTAGATCTGTTATAGTCCTGGTTTAGTGCTTTTTCAGTGCTGGTTCAGTTCTGGTTTAGTCCTGCTTTAGACCTGCCTTAGACCTGCTTTAGTCCTATGACATTTCATGTAAAGAGGCAGAATAACAATAAATGTTGCCTAAATAAACCCAGTTTAAAATCCACAAGAGCCAAACCTAAGTTTTTTTAAATAATTCAAGATTTACAGTGAATTTTTACATCACTAAATATATCGGTGATTATATCGGCTCTCGGCAGCTCCAACTATCATTATATCGGTATCATATTGGCCACAACAAAATCCATATCAGTCGGGCTCTAATTAATATATCACCAAGAGTATTTTTTTGCATATTTGACTAAATTATTTTGTTACAGCTACAGTTTTTTTCACTGTTTTGAGGATTAAAATCGGCATGTTTCATACGAACTCTGCGCAAGAAGTGGTTTAACAGACTTTAAGTATCACAGCCATGATTTAGCCTTTATTTTTTATTGAACCGTATCGAATCGATTTGAAATATATTGTATTGAATCGAAAGTGCACTGTATCAAGATATGTATCGTATTGCCAACTTCTTAATGGCACCCAGCCCTAGTCACGTCTTCTTCTGCACTGTTTTATATCCATAAACTCTAGGGGTGTGCAAAAATATCAATATATCGTATCGTTTAATGTGACGATACAGTATCGATATCATGGGCTGGTGTATCAATATATCACCAAGAGTATTTTTTGGTATATTTTACTGAATTATTTTCTTACAGAACTACAGTTTTATTGTTTGTTCAGAGGAAGGAAACTCGTTTATGCGACACATTTGACATTTTCACTGTTTTGATGATTTAAATGTTTGTGTTTCATATGAACTTTGCAGAAGAAGTGGTTTAACAAAGACTTTTAATGCCACAGCCATGATTTAGACTTTATTTTGTATTGAAATATATCGTATCAAATCAAAAGCGCACTGTATCGAGACATGTATAATATCGTGGCCTGTGTATCGAGGTATGTATCGTATCGGCAACTTCTCAACAATACCCAGCCCTAATAAACTCACGGAGGAGTGTATCGCAACAGTTATTTTCTCCGCTAAAGCGCCAAACACGGCCAGTGACATGTGATGACGTCATTGGCCATGGCCCGATTCGGTTGTGGAGGGGAAACGGTTTGAACGGAAGTTTACAGTCACACACATCTGATTCCCTTTTGCATTTATGGAGTTCGCAAACAGATTTCTCGAGCCGTTTTCCGCTGTTAGGATCCAACAACCACACAATTACGATGTCCGAATCCCAAAACTAAAATATGACAATATCAGAACCAGAAACAAAAGCGATATGGTTCAAAAGACTTGAAAAGATCGACTTTGACAATAGACACATCTCACTGGGAAAACAAACATGGAGGTTTGATGCTCACTTTTTGGGCAAATCCTTCCCAGTATGCGTTGCACAATGACCGGAAGTCCGAGATTCGTGTTGCATCTATTGGATTAAACCTCCAGCACACACCCATATTTGTTTTATCTGACCAGCGACCTGAAAATAAATGAAAAAGAAACTGAAAAGGCTTTATTTGTTTAAGTTGTTATATTTATTAAGAATGGGACAGTGTGCATTAATCAGCGTGTGTAGTACAGCGTGTAAATGTGCCAGAGTTTGCATCGCAGGCTCATTTTTATCAATTTGATAAGACAAAAAAACAGGACATAGGCGCAAAAACGTTCAGTCCATCACACACGGGACAGACTTTAAGATCAGAGAATAACTCGAGTCGCACACAGATTAAAGATAATAAACACATATCATCATCCCATAAAACCGAGATATTAAAACACATGCAGATTAGTCAGAGTTATGTTCACATGAGAGTTTGTAGTGACATAAATTGGGTAAAAAAAAATCTAAATCTGATCCATATCTCTGCCCAAAAGTACCGTGAGTTCATCGGCGCGTCTCTTCTGATTTGCAGTGGGGCCGCTGAGGGTGGAGTTCATGAAGCCCGGTCCGTCTCTGGAGCAGGTGAAGAAGGACAATCCCAGGATCACCAGCGGGGGGCGCTTCAAACCCCCCGACTGCGAGGCCCTGCAGAAGGTGGCCATCATCATCCCCTTCAGGAACCGAGACGAGCACCTCAAGTACTGGCTCTACTACCTCCACCCCATCCTCCAGAGGCAGCAGCTCGACTACGGCGTCTACGTCATCAACCAGGTACGAGGACGGGTTTAGACCGGGTTTACAAGACCGGGTTTACAGATTTGGTTTAGGCCAGCTTTAGAGACTGCTTTTAGACCTGATTTAGAACTGCCTTAGACCGGATTCACATTTGATTCAGACCTGATTCAGACTCATTTTACACATGCAGATCATAACTGTTCTTAAAGGTTTAGTCCAGGTTTAGCTCAAGTTTAGTCCTGGTTTAGTCCTGGTTTAGTCCTGGTTTAGTCCTGGTTCAGTCCTGGCTTATTCCTTTTTTAGACCTGGTTCAGTCCTGGTTTAGTCTTGTTTTAGGCCTGGTTTAGTCTTGGTTCAGATTTGGTTTAGTCTTGTTTTAGGCCTGGTTTAGCTCTAGTTTAGTCCTGGTTTAGCCTTGGTTCCGACTTGGTTTTGGGCCTAGTTCAGCCTTGGTTTAGTCCTGTTTTAGTCCTAGTTCAGCCCTAGTTTACTCCTGGTTTATTCCTTGTTCAGACCTGGTTCAGTCCTGGTTTAGTCTTGTTTTAGGCCTGGTTTAGTCTTGGTTCAGACTTGGTTTAGTCTTGTTTTAGGCCTGGTTTAGCCCTAGTTTAGTCCTGGTTTAGTCTTGGTTCAGACTTGGTTTTGGGCCTAGTTCAGCCCTAGTTCAGCCTTGGTTTAGTCCTGTTTTAGTCCTGTTTTTGTCATGGTTTAATCCTAGTTCAGCCCTAGTTTACTCCTGGTTTAGTCCTGGTTTAGTCCTGGTTTAATTCTGGTTTGATCCTGGTTCAACCCTGTTTTAGTCCTGGTTTAGTCCTGGTTCAGTCCTGTTTTAGTCCTGTTTTAGTCCTGTTTTAGTCCTGGTTTAGTCCTGGTTAATCTCCAGTAATCTTAAACCACAACAGTTCTAGGAACAGTGATCTGGGGCTGGGGACTCGTCGTGTCTCTGGAGAATCGACTCACAACTGTGTCACACGACTGTCGCCCCGGAGACCCACAGGGGGCGGAGCCGACAGGTAAAGGTACAGCTACAGCTACAGGTACAGATAAAACTACAGGTACAAGTAAACGTACAGATAAAACTACAGGTAAAGGTACAGGTACAGCTATAGGTACAGGTACAGGTACAAGTAAACATACAGGTAAAAATACAGGTTAAGGTACAGGTAAAACTACAGATACAGGTACAGCTATAGGTACAGGTAAAACTACAGGTAAAGTACAGCTACAGCTATACGTACAGATAAAACTACAGGTACAAGTAAATGTACAGGTAAAACTACAGGGGCAGCTATAGGTACAGGTAAAACTACAGGTAAAGGTACAGGTAAAACTACAGGTACAGGTACAGCTATAGGTACAGATAAAACTACATGTACAAGTAAAGCTACAGGTAAAACTACAGGCAAAGGTACAAGTACAGTTATGGGTACAGGTAAAACTACAGGTACAGCGACAGGTAAAACTACAGGTAAAGATACAGCTAAAACTACAGTTACAGGTAAAACTACAGATAAAAGTACAGGTAAATCTACAGGTAAAACCACAGGTAAATCTACAGGTAAAACTATAGGTAAAGCTACAGATAAAGGTACAGGTACAACTAAAACTACAGGTAAAACTACAGCTCAAACTACAGGTAAAGGTACAGGTAACGGTACAGTTAAAAGCACAGGTAAAACTACAGGTACAGGTAAAACTACAGGTACAGCGACAGGTAAAACTACAGATAAAGATACAGGTAAAACTACAGGTAAAGGTACAGGTAAAGCTACAGATAAAGGTACAGCTAAAACTACAGGTACAGGTAAATCTACAGGTAAAACCACAGGTAAAACTACAGGTACAAGTAAAACTACAGGTACAGGTAAAACTACAGGTAAAACTACAGGTAAAACTACAGGTAAAACTACAGGTAAAACTACAGGTACAGGTAAAACTACAGTAAAACTACAGTAAAAACTACAGCTAAAACTACAGGTAAAAGGGTTAGTACAGCTATAGGAAAAGCTACAGGTAGAGGTAGAGGTACAAGTAAAGGCACAGCACACTTTACCTAGTCAAGTCTAAACCAGGACTGAACCAGGTCTGACCCAGGACTGAACCAGGACTGACCCAGGTCTAACTCGAGTACTAACAGTGTGTAAAAGTGTGGAGTGTAGCCGCATGCAGCTTTTAAGCATGAATAAGTTTTTTCTAATCTGATCTGATGCTCATTAACCCAGTGCTCTTGGAATAATTGTGTTTATTGAAGCATGCCTCTAACTGGCTTCCTCTCTTTCTTCCTTTCTTTCTCTTTCTTTCTCTCTCTCTCTCTCTGTTTCTCCCACGTTCCCCCTCCCCTCTATTCCTCCTCCTCCCTTACCCTCTCACCTTCCCTCTCTCTCCCTCCCTCCCCCTGTTTTTCTCTCCTCCCTCCCTCTCTCTCTCTCTCTTTATCTCACTGTTTTCCCTTCTCTTTCTCACCCTCCCTTTCTCTCTTTCTTTTTCTCCCTCACTCTCTCTTCCCTTCCCTCTCTCCCTCTGCCCCACTCTCTATTTCCTCACTCTCCCCTTCCCCTTGTGTTTTTTGATCCTCTCTCCCCCTCCCTCGTTCTCCCGCTCTCCATCTGTTTTTCTCTTCTCTTTCACTCCTCCTCTGTCTTTTTTCTCGCTCTCTCTTCCTCCCTCTCCCTCTGTGTTCTCTCCCTCTCTCTCCCCCCTTCCCTTAATTTACCCCTCTCCCTCTGTTTCCCCCCTCCTCTCTCTTGCTCCCTCCTCCCCCTCTCTCTCTTTCTCTCTCTCCCCCCCTTCTACCCTTCCTCTCTCCCTTCTCCCTCCCTCTCTCTTTCTCTCCCTGCTCTCTCCTTCCTCTCTCCCTCTCTCTCTCTCTCTCCCTCTGCCCCCCCTCCTGTTTCCCTCCTCTCCTTCTCTCCCTCTCTTTCTCCCTCCCCTCTCCCTATCCTTCTGTTTTGTCTTTGTCTCTGTCTTTGTCTCTCTCCCTCGTCTCTCCCTCCTCCCCCTCTCTCTCCCCTTTCTCTCTCCCTCTCTCTCTTCCTCTCCTCTCTCTGTCCCCTTTCTCTCTCCTTCTCTCTCTTCCTCCCCTCTCCTCTCTCTCTCTCCCTCTGTTTTCTCTCCCTCCTCTCTCCCTTTCTCTCTCTTTTTCTCTCCCTCTCTCCCTCCTCTCTCCTTCTCTCCCTGCTCTCCCCTTTCTCTCTCCTTCCTCTCTCTGTCTGTCTCTCTCCCCCCCTCCCCCTCTCTCTCCCTCTGTCCCCCTCCTCTTTCCTTCTCTCTCTTCCTCCCCTCTCCTCTCTCTGTCTCTCCCTCTGTGTTCTCTCCCTCCTCTCTCTCTCTCTTTCTCTCTCTCTCTTTCTCTCTCCCTCTCTCTTCCTCCCCTCTCTCCTTCTCTCCCCACTCTCCCCTTTCTCTCTCCTTCCTCTCTCCCTCTCTGTCCCCCTCCTCTCTCCTTCTCTCTCTTCCTCCCCTCTCCTCTCTCTCTCGCTCCCTCCTCTCTCCCTCTCTGTCTCCTTCCTGTCTACTTCTCTCTCTTCCTCCCCTCTCTCCCTCTCTCCCTCTGTTTCTCTTCTCCCCCCTCCCCTCTCTCTCCCCTCTGTCCCCCTCCTCTCTCCTTCTCTCTCTTCCTCCCCTCTCCTCTCTCTCTCTCCCTCTGTGTTCTCTCCCTCCTCTCTCTCTCTCTTTCTCTCTCTCTCTCTTTCTCTCTCCCTCTCTCTTCCTCCCCTCTCTCCTTCTCTCCCCACTCTCTCCCCTTTCTCTCTCCTTCCTCTCTCCTTCTCTCTCCCTCTCTCTCCCTCTCTCTCTCCCTCTGTCTCCCTCCTCTCCCTCCCCTTTCCCCCCCCTCCCCCCCCCCCTCCCCCCCCCCCCCCCCCCCTCCCCCCCTCTCCTCCTCTCACTCTCTCTGTCTCTCTCTCTCTCTCTTCATCCTGCGCTCCTGTGTCCTCTGGCTGCTCCTGTCCTTTGCATGGCAGACGACACCTCCTCCGCCGCTCAGCATCATGGGTAACGGGCTTCTTTTCTTCTTTTTTACCGCTTTAAACGATCACGCCCTGTCGTCTCTGCCACTGCCACCGCCGCCGCTGCTTGCCGACTCACGACTCTTAACTCTCCGAAACAAAACGCCGTGTTACACTTCTACTCACCGACGCTCTGACGTTTCCTCAGCGCAAACAAACAAATAAACCCGGAGTCGTGTTTCGTTTCATTCACACAAAACATAAAAACACTCTGTTGCACCTTGTGATGTCACGTGGTAATACAGGAAGTGGTCTTGTGTTTTTTAACTCTATACACCTTCAACTAGAATGTAGGAGTGCCTAAAAATATCAAAATATCCACATATCGTATCGTTTAATGTGACGATACAGCATCGATATCGTGAGCTGCTGTATCGAGTATTTTTTGGTTTATTTTAGTAAATTACTTTGTTACAGTGCTGCAGTTTTGTTGCGTGTTTAGAGAAAGGAAACTGATTTATAAATATACACTTCACATTTTCAGTTTCAATGATGTAAATGTTTGTGTTTCATATTCACTTCGCACAGGAAGTGGTTTAACAAGGACTTTTAGTTAGTATTAGTTTAGTTTCGGATTAATTATTTATGGAACAAAAGCATTCTGCCCTGAAGCACTGTGACACTTTATTTTTTTTCATTTTGTAATTGTGTTTTTATACGTTTTTATTGTAAATAATGTGGATGAACGAAATGTGAAATGTGGGACCAGCCTCTCAAATCTGCAAAAGCAAAATTTACCTGTGGCTAATAAAGCAACCTAAACCTAACCTAGTATCACAGCCACGATTCAGCCTTTACTTTTTATTGAACCGTATCGAATCGATTTGAAATACAGTATATTGTATTGAACCGAAATTGCACTGTATCAATATGTGGCCTATGTATCGAGGTGTGTTTTAGGGATGGGCATGATTAGTCGACCAAACGATAATTGATTGTTAAGAGTTTCGTCGATCGCATTTTTAATAATCAAACTGAATGTAGGTTGCTGTGCGTAGTGTAAGGAGATGAGGCTGCGTCTGAAAAAAA